AGATGGAAAGGAAAATGTCAAGAATGTAAGGTTTAGAGTAATTGGACAAAAGGAAGAAAACCAAATAGAAATAATAAAACATTAATTACCCAGTGCATCATAATACTTGTTATATTTAACTACAAAATACTGAATTGTAGATTTGATAGTTATACATGAATATATTAATATATGCATCTGACATGAAGCTTATTTTTTTCAAGTGTGAAGTATAGTTCATCTAGCTTTCTGTGCTTTGCCAAAAGAATAAATGTATTTCCAATTCTTTCATAGAAAATTGTCCACTAGTATATTATGGCTAATTTTTCTAGATAGAAGAGCCTACCTTTCTCCTTTCTAACCATCCCTACCTGATGGCTATTAACTGTGCTGCATGTATATCCAAATTGTATCTATATTCACTCATGTATTTTAAATAACTAGTTTAAATTGCAATGAAATTGCACCCTATGTTTTGCATTTATTTTACTGAACCCTGCCACTGCAGTCTCAGTACTTATTCAATGCTTGCTAGTGGATTACTTATAGCTACCCTACTCAAGTGATCATGTAAATCCTCCTTTCATTTTGAGAATTGTAGGTTTTGAATACAGAAAACATTTTTGTAATACTTGTATTATCACAGTGTTATGTTCTGCCACTGTTTTTATTAAAACTTGCATTTATAGGAATTTAGACTTGAATCATTTTTAAATCTCACTAGGTATTAGAGCTATGTATCTGGTAGTAGTAGATCAGTATGGATGCTAGGCTTTTGTTTTATTGCTGAGTTTTAACATTAAAGGTGCTTTTTTGGGTAACACCCTTTTTTCTTCCTGTGTTTTTCAAAATTAACAGAAAATTATGACTCCTATAACAAGTTACCTATAAATTCAGTAAGTTATTTTTCTTGTTTGAATTTGAAGTCATGGTTATACTGTGAAGAAACCAGATAGAATATGGACTTGTGTAAATCTATTTTCATTACCATAAAATTGTTGGTAAGTTGCATGATTAACTGATGACAGAACATTAGGTTATTGTATATGAAAGTTAATTTTCTTTTGAAGTATCACAAAAATCATATTTTGGGTATAGACTTGCTATGAGCTTTTTCTTTTCTTTCTTTCCTTCCCTCCATCTTCCCTCCCGGAATTGAACCCAGGGGCACTCAACCACTGAGTCACATCTCCAACCCTTTTTGTATTTTATTAGAGACAGGGTCTTGCTGAGTTACTTAGGGCCTTGCTAAATTGCTAAACTCTGGGTTTGAACTTGCAATCCTCCTGTCTCAGCCTTCCCCTGGGATTATAGGCATGCACCATTGCTCCCAGTGAAGCTTTTTCTTTTAATCCCCATGTTAGGGGAATTGTATGGGGAGATTCTTGCTTTTCCTATTCTCTTTATCTTTGTGAGTTACTTCATTTTAAAATTTCTTTCTGGTAAGTATTGTAAAATGTTGTGTTTATTATTTGGTGCTAAGGATTGAATCCAGGGCATTGTGCATACTAAGCGTGTGCTCTACCACTGAGCTATATCTCCAGCCCCAAAACTGTAGAGTTTTGGGAGAGAGGAAAACAAACAAACAAAAACTTGTGGTCAATCAACCATGTTAAATGAAAGTTATTTATTTCTTTAGAACTAAGTTTAGCTGGGCATGGTGATGCTCGCCTGTAATCTTAGCAGTTTGGGAGACTAAGGCAGGAGGATAGCAAGTTCAAAGTCAGCTTCAGCAATGTAGCAAAACCCTGTCTCAAAATAAAAAATAAAAAGGGCTGTGGATGTGATTCAGTGATTAAGCAACCCTGGGTACAATCAAAAACAAAACCAAAAACTGATTTTAAGGCAACAATTAAATATTTCCACATAAGCTATCTGAAATACCTGATGACAGACACTATGTTTTATTACTTAAAAAACAAACAAACAAACTGTACTTGTTACAATATGGATATACCATGTTCATTATTGTTATTAAGAACCTGGTACTATTTCTGGGTAAAAAAAAAACTGATGTATTTAATAAATTGGAGGCATAATAATGGAGTGGTTAAAAGAATACTGCTACCTGTGTTGGAGTACTTGGAATTAGACTTACCTTCTTCCAGGAATAACTATAATAACTGGATTAGGGGAAATCTCCCTGTTTAAAAACATAAATGAACACCTGAAACAGTCAGAACCTGACTTTTTTTTTTTTTTTTTTTTTTTTTTTCAGTCCTGGGAATTGAACGTTTTTCAAGTATGCTAGGCTGAGCTATACCCCACCCCTCTTTTAATTTTGAGACAGGTTTTGCTGAGTTACCCAGCCTGGCCTCTAACTTGCAATCCTCATGTCCCAAGTAGCTGGGATTATAGGTGTGCCCCATGGTACCCAGTTTCTCTTTTTCTTTCTTTCTGTCTTCAGTGCTATGTATTGAACCCAGGGCCTCATTCATGCTAGGCAAGTACTCTACCTCTGAGTTACAGAGCTATATCGCCAGCCCCTCAAAACCTGTTTTATGAGCTAGAGAACAATATGAGAGAATTTATAATACTGTTTTTTATGTGACATGAAAAATACCTCCTTATTACTCTGCTTTTTCAGAATTATCCTGGCAATTTTTTTAATAATCATATATTTTATTTTATTTTTAGTTGATTTAATTTATTTCTGGAAATTCTTGAATGTTCATTTTTGCCAATGAATTTTATAATATTTTTTCAGTTTATCCCAAGAAAAGTCTCATACAAAGTCTCATACAAAGTCAATGACAAATAACACGTGGATAGAGAGTTAGACCTATTAATTGAAGAGAAAACTAAGGATGGTAATATGGCCAAGTGCTTTCAAAGAAAGTGACTTCAGTATTAAAGGATTAAGAGAGTGACAACCCATTATTGGATGCTGGGAAATGATGGGTTAAGAAACTTGATGTAATCCTCAAATATTTTTGTGAAAATTGTCTTTATGATCAACCTGCAATAGTCAAATAAAGTTGTATTCTCTTAAAATTTTGTTGGAAAAATTATACTGCATTCTTTGTTCTAACAATTAGCATGTTAAAATTTCAAACTAAATTGTTTTCTGTAAGTTTATATAAACTTATTTCTGTAACATTTTTATTTTACATTAAAAGTTCAATCAATCCTTTTTACTCCATTATTTACCATGAAGTTTTGATTCTCATTTTAAATGTGTTACTTTGAGTAGTAGTCTTTTCTGGTGTCAGTTTTCTTTTGATAATGAGAATTTCTTATATTCAAAGGAAAACTTTTAAGCCTATTCTGAAACTTTTTAGGAGAGATTGTCAATGACTTGTTAACTGTTGTTACTTTAGTTGAAATTGGATCATATTCGTGAAGAGATATATCTTTTCATATTTATATCTCTATATAGATACACCTCTAGTTTCTATGACAGTGCCTGGCACTTAATAGATTCCCCAAATTGTTTTTTTTTTAAATAAATGAGAACTAAACAGAGGGAAATATCATCCTTTTCTATAGGGAATGTATAATCTAATGATGGGGCTACAACAAATAAACAAGAGATTAGTAATGCTTATAGATGGAGAGGAAAAGGTCATTTCAGTTGAGCTTAATAGTAAGTTTTAATTTTCAGGAGTTTGAATTTGATTTAGGAGGAATTTGGAGTGATAAATTTTGCAGAAGAAAATTAATGATAGGTCAGAAGAAAAACAGGCTATTTTTGTAGGACTGCTGTGTTAGTCAGCTTTTTAATTGCTGTGACCAAGATACTTGACAAGTACAACTTTGAAGAGGAAGTTTATTTTGGCTCACAGTTTCAGAGGTCTCAGCTGATTCCATTGCTCTGAGCTCATGGTGAGGCATAACATCATGGTGGAAGGGCTGATGGAGGAAAACTACTCAACTCATGATGTCCAGGAAGCAGAGAGAGAAGGATCAGGGACAGATACAAAGGTACACCTCTAGAGACCTAATTCCTCCAGTCATTCTTACCTGCCTATAGTTACTGCCCAACTAGTCCATTCAAATTATTAATCCATCAAGTGGGTTAATCCACTAATTAGGTTTCAACTCTTACGGTCTAATCCTCTCACTGCTGAACATTCCTGCCTTCACACAGGAGCTTTTGGGAAATACCTTATATCCAAACCATAATAACTACATCAGGTAGGTTAGGGTTTTTTTGTTGTTGTTGTTACTCTAAGGTAGTTCTGAGCCACATCTTTGACTATAAATGTGTATAGCAAGGAACAGAGCTGTCTGAAAACATCAATGACTTTAAAAAAATTTTTGTGATGCTTTCCAAATACTGAATTCTGAAACTCTGTGTAACCAGGGACATGTTATATTTACTAAAGATAGAAAATAATTTTTTCTATTTTCCTCAAAAAAATTCTGAAAAACAATAAACATTAAATATAAAAGCATAAAACAGTATAATCACATGCAATATATCATCACATACATATTTCATCTCACACATGGATGTTTAATCTTTAAAGTAGCCCAGCAGGATTATGTACACCCAAATTCCATTAACCATAATATGTTTTGTCATCTTCATTCTTTTTCAAGTTCTAGCCCACACTTTCATGTAAGATTATTAATGTCAGACACAAAAATTAATATAGTAAAAATAATGTTTTATTTTATAAAAATAATCTTTTATAATATTGGAAACTAAATATAATATTTTTTATTGATTGAATGGACAGGCTCAGATAATAATTATTGAAATATCATCAGTTCATAACTAAATATGCCTTAAAAATTCTGTAAGTGCAATAGGATTGAATGTATTTTTTACTTGATTGCTTTTGCTTACAAAGTTTTTGCCTATTAGAATGTTTTTTGAGATTTTGCATATTTTATATTTAAAAGAAAATATCTTTCTGTGACAATGTGCTGTTGAAACAGAGTTTCTTTATAGTTGATATCTCATTTATACCAAGATTGGTATCTCCTATATTATCAGTAGAGAAAGCAGTTTGTAATTGTAAAGTATCTATGTATGCAAACCTATTTGATGGATTTTAAAATTATTTCCCTAGGAAACATAACATTTGAAACAATGATGGAAATTCTCCGAGATAAACCAAGTGGCATTAATATGGAAGGAGAATTCCTGACCACTGCAAGCATGGTTTCTGTTTTACCTCAAGATTCCAACCTTCCTTGCATTCACTTCTTTACGGGGACTCCTGATCCTGAGAGGTAAAGTCACAAAATATTGTGAACTAGCAAGTGGTCATGGTATGGGGAAGAATCATAGTGTGTTGATAATTCTGTGAGACTAAATTTTTGTTACATAAATAAGACAACTTGTTGGTGGATTTTCTGGGCCAATTTTAGATTGCAATTTCCATATATGTGTAACTGTTCTCATTTTTTATGGGAAGAAAAGGCTTATAGTTTTGTATTTACCCTTATCTGTACTCCTCTTTCCTACAAATATATTTAACATTGTCAAGAAAAGAAGGTAGATAGGTTTTTCTGCTCAGATTTCAGACATTAATGACATTAGATGATTTATAAGTTAGTAAATTGAATAAGTAATGTAGTTGTGCTAGATTTACTTATGTACATACAGAAAACACATACATATAAAACTTAAACTATCAGTAGTTCAAGTTATATCTTTAGGACTTTATTTATAGACTATCTTGATTCAAGTCATTTGTATCTCTTACCAAATTTAACACCACATTACATTTAGAAATGATTTCGTACTTGCTATCCCTTAATGTTATAGACTTTCATATTGTTAAAGATATTTTAAGAAGTTAGAGTGTGAAACCTGTGTCCCCTCATTAACACTTGTGCTGATTTTCACCCCAAGTTATAATCCTCAGTCTATAACTCTGAGGATTGTTCTTACCTTAGGAAATGGAAAACTGTTCATTCACTGACATGGTGTATGTGCTGTGCTCTCAGTAGGTCAGTATAATGCAGCCCTAAATTAAGCATTGTCCTTGCCATAAATGAGATCACACTGTACACTGGGAATTGGGCATAAGCATAATTAATATGACAGGAACAACTTACTTATGTAGCATCATTAAGAGAAACTTCTCTAAGAGAATCTTGGAAAACTTAGAATAATGCTGAATTTTTTTAAACATTTTGTCATGTCAATTTAATTAAGTGTCTTTCTTCTAGATCAGTTTTTAAGCCTTTCATATTTGTGCCACATATTTCACAACTGTTGGATACCAGTTCACCAACATTTGAACTTGAAGATCCAGTTAAAAAGAAGCTGCACTTAAAGAGTAAGCCTGATAGAAGACACCCACTCTACCAAAACCACCAACAGGCTTTGGAAGTAATAAATAATAATGAGGTATTATTATATTATCTGTTGTATCATTAGAATAGTTTAAAGTATGATTCAATCTGAATTCTAAACATTGAAGAACCAATTTCTTTCCTTCATGTAAAAAGTAGGTTTATAAATAGTATAGATGCTGCTGGAGATGATGGTGCCCACCTGTAAACCCAGCAGCTTGGGAGGCTGAGGCAGAAGGATTGGATTTCAAAGCCAGCCTCAGCAACAGTGAGGTGCTAAGCAACTCAGTGAGACTCTGTCTTTAAATACAAAATAGGGCTGGGGATGTGGCTTCCCCACCCACCCCCCCAAAAAAAGAAATAGTGTAGATGCTATTACTATAGTAAAGCTGTATTATTTTTACTTTTGGTTAAGAATATGTGTGTTGTGACTATTTTAGACAAATTTAGTATATTAAACATAACAATAACTAACATTATTGAGCACTTATCATATACCATTTTATATGGATTATTTTATTTAATCTGCACAATCATTTTATGAGATAGGTACTCTTGTTATCTCCATTTTACTGATAAGGAATCCAAGACTAGGAGAGAGGTTTAGTAATTAGCTTAGTATCTCACACCAAAAATCACAAAGACTCTAAAGGGCAGTAAATCTTAATCCTACAACTGCAGATGAAAATTAATTGAAAGTGATTAAAGGCCTCATAGACTTAAAATAATAAGTTGTTTTTTAAAAAAAATAATATATGCTTATTATTTAAAAAATGTGAACATTGTAAAGAGCAACATGTCACCTGAAATCTCCAGAAATAAGCAGATGTATTTATTTTCTGACATAGATTGAAAGTTAATTTTATAAAATATACCTCTTCAGCCCTCCCTATCCCTTGCCCGTCCAACTCCCCCCTCCTCCCCATAAGAATGAAATGGGGCTGGGGTTGTAGCTCAATAGTAGAGTACTTGCTTAGCATGCATTAGCATGCATGCATGAGGCCTTGGGTTTGATCCCCACCCAGCATTGCAAAAAAAAAAAAAAAAAAGGAAAGAAAGAAAAAAGAAAGTACAAGTGCTGTCTGAAGGCAACTATCAATTGACAACCTGCAATGAAGGAAAAGATTAACCATCCTATATCTTTTCTTGGCTATTTTTACCACTTGCTGATTTTTCTAGCTATATAATCCTTTAACTTTTTCAAGATCTAGGCATTTACATCTGTCTACATTTAAATCAATTAAATTAATTTTCCTCCATGTAATTACTCATTTTTGCCTGTAATATGTTTGTATAGTTATCTGCCTTTTCCCCCCACTTCACTATTTTGCTTTTGTTTGAAGCACTTTGCCAGACTTCCTATTTGCTAAGAATTCTTAATGCTGATTCTGCTTTACTGGGGACCAGTTTGTTTTTACATCTGGTCTACAGTCTAAATACTGTTTTGTAGCTTAGTGGTGTGAAATGAGAGGCAAGCAATAGGAACCCACTTAGTATGCTGACTGGGGCCCAAGTCACTGGGCCTGAGGTGTCTGTCATTCCTATGTGCTTAGCTTATTCTCCACACTCAGAACAGTGTGGTGAACAATGATGAGCACTCTGATTCTTTGGCCTTTGCTCAAGTCCCTTAGTGTTATGCTTTAGGAACTTCTACTGGATCCCTTTACTCCTCCTGTGCAGTTTCCACACAGCCTTTGTTGTTCATAATTGCTCTCATGAGCTTTCACTTCTCTTTTCCCCATTATACTGCTTCTGGGAGGTGACTTTTATAGAGTTAGTATTAAATATTTGTTGAACTAAAAAATTAAATTGCTTATTGGAATTACAAAGTAATTTGGGGATAAAAATGAAAAGCTTGGGGCTAGGGTTGTAGCTCAGTGGTAGAGTGCTTATCTGGCATGCATGAGGCACTGGGTTCGATCCTCAGAACCACATTAAAAAAAAATATCCACCTAAAACTAAAGATACATAAATAAATAAATTTTAAAAATTAAAAGCTGTTACTGTTTAAAAGATGTTAATTGTTGATTGACAATATAAAGTCATGGAAAAATAATGTAATTTGAGGATGATATCAATAAGCTATGTTCTAGTTCTGACTCTATAACTACTTTTTTGTTTTAGGGAGACTCAGTCCTACTGATAGCTTTAATTTACATTTCTTGATTACTAGTGAGATAGAAAATTTCTATATTTATTGGTATAAATATTAAATGACTTGGCTGGGTTTTTTTCATAGCTTATTTCTCAGTTGATTTAAAAAATTTTTTTAGTTGTTGATAGACCTTTATTTATTTATATGTGGTGCTGAGAATTGAACCCAGTGTCTCACACATGTCAGGCAAATGTGCTACACTGAGCCCCAGCCCCAGCCCCTCTCAGTTGACTTTTGGGTCATTTATGTTTGTGTGTTTTGCATCAAAGAGGCAACAAATACGAATGTTAACTTTGTTATGTGCAGAGATTTTGTTGTTGTTTTAAAATATATTTTTTTAGTTGTTGATGGACCTTTAGTCATTTATTTATATGCAGTGCTGAGAATTGAACCCAGTGCCTCACACATGTGAGGCAAATGTTTACCACTGAGCCACAATCCCAGCCCTTGTTGTTGTTGTTTTTGATGCTGATAATTGAACTCAGGGATTTCATTCAGTCTAAAATAGAGTTTCATTCCTTCTATATTTACATATTAGAAGGGGTAACTAATCCAGAAGTAGAAACCACAGTGAACAAATCTTGTCTGTGAGGGTGGGTTGGAATTTGGATAGATTCATGTACTCATGTATGTGTATTTGTGTGCTTTTCATTGTTTAGGATAAAGCCAGAACAATATTGGATAACATGAGGAAGCTGGAGAAAGAACTATTCAAAAAGATGGAGTCAGTCCTCCAAAACAAGCATCTTGATATGGATGAAATTGCTAATCTCTTTCCTCAGAGTACAAAAGATGAAATTAGAATTTATAAGGCAAATATTACTTCATAGTGAGTGATCATAGAAATGGTGGAAATCTCCCTTAAAGTCAGAATCCATTGTCTTGAGGTAAACCTACTTAGCTATTATTCTTTAATAGCATTCAAGTGATAGTTCAACTGTTAAAACTCATATAGTTTTGCTGAGATACTGACAAAGAAAACATTGGAACCAAACACATATATCATGGGGTAGCTAGGTGTTATTCCAGGCAATTATTTCTTTTAGCCACAATAACTTTTTTTTTTGTCACAATAATTAAGTACTCAGGTGCTGGGGCTGAGGCTCAGTGATCCAGCACTTCCCTCTCATGTGTGAGGCATTGGGTTTGATCCTCAGCACCATATGAAAATAAATAAAATAAAAGTATTGTGTCCATCTACAACTAAAAAAAATTAAGTATTCAATTCTATATAAAGCATAAGACATTAATATAATGCATGGATTTATACTTATAATTTTGTAGTTCCCTCAAATCATTTTATCAATTATTTTAAGTTTTTTTAGTAATGAAAAAAATATGAAGTAGTGAGTTTTCTTATGCTTTAGGCAAATATTAACCAGTGCTAACAAGAGAATTTTCTAGATTTACACACTAAATCTTTATCATTGTATTAATTCTGAAAATACACTTTCATTCAAACACACTCTATATCAAGAGTTGGCTTACCAGTGAACTTATAGCTCCAATTGTTTAGCCTTCCACTGTCTCTTAGAAACCACTATTTAGTTTTTAGTTTACTTTGTTTTGCTTTCCCCAGAATGTTGGAATCATACAGTAGGTGTTCTTTCAGATTGATTTCTCTTGCTTACTAGTAATATATACTTAAGTTACTCCGTGTTTTTCATGACTTGACAACGCCTTTCTTTTTAGCACTGAATAATATCCCATTGTCTGGATGTATCATTACTAAAGGACATCTTGGTTGCTTTTAAGTCTTGGCAATTATGAATAAATCTACAAACTGCCATATGCAGGTTTCTGTGTGGATGTAAAATTTCAACTTACATTGGGTAAATACAAAGTGTGCAATTGCTGGGTCATATGGTAAGAGCATGTTCAGTTTTTGTAAGAATTCGCCAAACTGTCTTCCAGAGTCACTACCATTTGCATCCCCACTAGCAATGTTGCACCATATCCTTCCCAGCATTTTTTGTGTCAGTGTTTTAAATTTTTACCATTCTAATAGTTGTGCAGTTGTTTCTCGTTTTAATTTGCAATTCCCTAGTGACATGAAATGTTGAACATCTTTTCATTGTTTATTTACCACCTGGGTACATCTTCTTTGGTGAGGTGTCTGTTCAGATCTTTTGCCCATTTTGAAATCAGTTGTTTGTTCATTTTCTTATTGTTGAGTCTAAAACTCTTTCAAAGACATTGTTTTTGGGTTAAAGTCTCTTAACAAATACCACCAAGAGCCTGGTAATTAATCTTTCCTCTGTATTTATCTTATTACACTTTCACCATTGTTTTTTATGTTTCAACTATGCTGCTCTTTCAAGTCTTGGAATGTGCCCAGTTCCTTCCTCATGGCTATACCCTCTGTTGTACCATTCATTCTGTGTTCTCACCTTTTGTAGTTCTTTTAATGGTTTTGCCAAGACAGGAATTCCTTAAGGAAGTTTTCCTCAAACCACAAGGTCAGGTCTCTCTTAAATACTCTTGGAGCCACATGCTATCCTGATCACAAATTAATTATACATTAAACATTTACACAGAACATTAAACACAGTAGAACAAAGCTCTATGAAACTAGGAATCATATTTGTTCTTACTGTTGTATGCGCAGTGTTCAGTATTGTGTCTGGCATGTAATAAATGCTATTAATAGATATTTGCAAAATGAATATTCAGATACTGACAGGAAAAATTTATACAGTCCTCTGCCTATAAAAATGCAAGGTTGCAAAAATTATCTAGATAATTTATCTATACAACTTGTTAGCTTTTGATAAGTTTCAAATCAAGCTGTTGCTTCTTTCCATATTAGAAATGGGAATGTATCCCCATATGAAAGCAAGGATTATTGGGGCTGGAGCCATGGCTCAGTGGTAGAGGACTTGCCTCACACGTGTGAGGCACTAGGTTCAATCCTCAGCACCACATAAAAATAAATATATTGTGTCTATCTACAACTAAAAAAGTTTAAAAAAACAAGGATTATTAATGTATTATTAATGTATGTAATTATTAATGTAAATTAATATAATATAGCTTGACTTTCACTGTATAAATGCAATGTGGTATTGGGCTATGAATACTTGTGGGGGTAATTAATGCCTTGGGATATATTGTAAAAAATTTAAGGTTTTATTAAATTTTATCTATTTTAAGAGTAAAAAAATATAGTTGCTGAATTAAGCTTTTTATTAGGTCAACCCTTAAATTATGTTATAAACCAAGGGAGTCATCTAATAAATTGAGTACTTTACAAAAAGCTACGTTGTTTGATCTTGATGAAAATATCAGTTTATATATTTATTGTTAAAAAAAAGAATGTTGTCCTAGAAATAATATGCAGCCTAGAATTTTGGAAAGTTAGTTCCTCCTTGTAAAATTTTCCAAAAACAGTTCTACATAGTGAATTTTTCTCTTTTGAATTAATTACTTCAGATTTCCATCATGCCAACTGCAGAACTTTAAAATCTGTCTTTTCCTGAAGAATAGTGATAATATGTATGGTCCTGAACTGTGTTTCCAGTCATCATTCATCACATGGGTATAAGATACAAAGGGGCAAAAACCAAGAGCTGTATTCTGCTGCATAACTTTTGGGTCACTAATCATTATTCTCCAAGTAAATATACTTTATCTTATTCTAAAAATATTAAAAGCAGAGCACAAGTTAGGCATGGACTTGTTCATTGAGAGTTAAGATAACAATAGACTATGCTGAAGATTAGTAAAAAAGGGGTAGATTTTAATCAAAATTGTATCAGATAATTTTCTCAGCTGTGACTCTACATATTAAAAATCATGAGATGTGGCTCAGCAGTAGAGTGCTCGCCTAGCATGTGCAAGGCGCTGGGTTCGATCCTCAGCACCACATAAAAATAAATAAAATAAAGGTATTATGTCCAACCACAACTAAAAATAATATTTAAGAAAAATCATGAAATGTATGTAAGGCACTCTTAATTTCATATTAACTCACTCATAAAAGGTGTTTAGTGAATTCATAATTGGGGAAGTTTCTATGCATAGGACCTAACGGGTCATGAAGAAAGGGACAGTCTTAAGAAACTCATTTAAGAAAACATTAAGAACTTAGATTAAAGACCCATTTGATAGTATCTGTATCATTGCAGTTGCCCAAAGAAAAGATGACAGCAGTGAAAGTTAAAATAGGTAGTTTATTCAGAAACTTGCTTTGTCAGTGAGAAAGTAACAGTTACAAATATTTTCATTTAATAAAATTAGCATATCCTTAATCTAAAAACATCTCTTAAAATCCTTTATCTGAAACTGCAGATCATTCTGATCTAGGATTTTCTTTTAGTGTCTCCCATGGAAAAAGAGGTTGCAGAATCCTTTTGTGCAAATAACAGAACATATGCAGTATGACTTATTTGTATGACTTGTTCATAAATAAAAAATTTCTCCACTTGAGTTTGAGTTGCCTGCATGCATGTGAGTGAGTTACATCTCTACTGGAACAGCAGTGAGGCTTTATGCTTACTCCTGAGCATTCAAAGAGTATTAACGTGGTCATATTTTTTTAGAAAAAGTTCCCCCACAAGACAGTTCTGTTTAAAACACGCCCATTCTCTAATGATAGCTTGAAATTTGTATAGGTTAATGGTATACTGAAGTAAAATTTACTTGTTAAATACACTAGGCTTCCATGCAGGTTTTTAAAAAATTTATATATCTGTTGCATTAAAAGGGCAATAATTTTCTAAACGGCTTTATATATAAAACACTAAACATGAGATAAACATTTCAACATATTTTGAGTAAGTTAAACTGACACCTAATAATTAAGTAGATGTTCAAAAATCATGTGAATAACTCCCTTTAATTTTCTGAAGATGAACTTTATCTGAGGGTGTTATGGTCTGAATGTGTGCATCCCCTCAAATTCATATATTAAAATGTAATATATGGGGAGTGGGATGATACTGGGGGGTGACTAGGTCGTGAGGGTAGAGCCCTCATGAATGGCATCAGTCCCTTTCTCAGGGCTGAAGAGACAAGAGTTTTTCCCTTCTACCATGTGAGGTAACAGCAAAAGGGCACCAGCTGTAAACCAGAAATCAGGCCTTCACCAGACACTGAGCCTGCCCATGTCTTAAATCTTAGACTACACAGCCTCCAGACCTATAAGAAATAAGTTTCTGTTGTTTATAAGCTATCCAGTTTGTGGTGTTTTGTTATAGCTGCCTTAATGGACTAAGATAGCAACATTTAGTAATTTAAAAATTTATAGATTTTTTTTTAATACATAGAATTCATAGACTGAATTCTAAAGGTAGTCATAGGGTGCTATGTCTAGAAGTTCTAACTCTTGACTTGGACTATATATATGGTCCTTTTTATTCACTGCAGGGAGAAAAGTAGTAGGGTTATTATTCTGTACTATGTTGCTTTGTGCAAATAATAAGTGATACATCACATGGCAATAATTTTTTAATATTTAAATAAATATGCACAAATTACTATCTGTAGCACAAAAGTTAGAAATTGGATTTTGATGATAATATTTATGGAGGTTTTTATTCCTTTCCTAATGACATAGATTAGTACTTTGGTTAGAAGAGCAAGAAGAGACAAGCCTATTTAAAAAAAAAAAAGGCAGTGATTCTAATTTGTTAACGAGTTTTTTCGAAGAAATGGACGGGGGCTGGGAGGAATAAGAACCTCTTATTAGATTCAGTAAAATTATTTTTTTTAGGAAGTGCCATCAATAAATGTAAAATTACCATAATTTTATGTCCACTTCACCAGAACATCTGTCAAATTTGACAATTAAAAAGAACTGTCAATTGGATATTGATTTTGAAGTTATAGCAAACAGTTGCAGGAAGAAATCGTTTTATAATGTTGCCACACTAGTATTATTTATAGTAATTATTATATTCACTATCAGAACTTTTCCTTTTTCCTAGGTCACTTTCCTATGTGTTTTACATACTAAAACCACAGTGTTAGCATGGGGCGGGGGAAATGCAGCTTGTCAGATTTTACAGAAGTGGCAACTAAGACTCGGAGAGGTTCTAACTTGCCCAAGATCACACAGATAAATACTGGATCTGGGGCTAGAATATGATTCCACGGGGGATTCTCTCCTTTATCATTT